AATAGCGAAAGCTCAGTATTATATGCCAAATATTTCAAAAACTTATAATCAAAAGTCTGAGAGTTGGGCAAACAAACCACTGACTTTTTATAATTGTCTTCGCGCTCATCAGTAAGTACCATGCGAATAGTTGCTCCAACAGCGTCAATTCTGGCGGCCAATTGACCTTGTTCACAAAGAGCCACAAGTTCGTTTTCGAGCTGAATAAATGTACATATCTAAATCTCACAAACGACATAAAAACTTCAAAATGCTTACGCTCTTCAAATCGGTCCTAAATACATTAGCCATGGCATTCAAATCAGCGGATGCAAATGGTTCGAGGTATTGAAGTAGTGCGCGTTCACGAATCACAGCATATAGCGGATCAACATGGGAACTCAAATATGGATCGAGGAGGAACTACAACACTCATAGAATCAGCGCCAAAAAAAAAAATGAATAGCGAGACGACTAAAAGACTAAACCTCACCCTGTCTTTCATATCTTTCAGTATATCCAAAGCGCGACCAAACTGACTCTTTATAATGCATTGCAGTAATTCGACAAGTTTCGGCTCTGATTCAAGGAATTTTCTAAAGAGGAGATTGGAGATCAATCAAAAAAATTTCACACCTCGAATAAAAATGAAGACAGACGCGAAATTCTAAATTATCAGGGTGGTGCAAACCTGCAATTCCCATCGTGGATCACTTTCTTCTTCAATTCTGATCTATCGTAACTAGCAATCGCACAAAGTGTACAGTAAACCGCCATATCCGAAGCAGAGAATAACCAAGGAGAATCAAGAAAATCTAAGTCTACCTAAAGAAAATGGTAAAGCCGAAAGAAGCAAAAGAAACAATGCGTAGATACAACAAAATGGTCACCTTGAGAAATCTGTCAGCTGCTTGTTTGTATCTACCCGCCTGCAATTTCGACAAACCACAAGCTGCATCCAATTTAGCCTAAAAGTAAGAAAATCAGGAGGAGATAGGAAAAGAAAAAATACAACTGACTCTTCCACTACTGATCAATAAGCGAGTACACTTCGTTACAGCAGCACGACTGGTCGCTGACGAGGATACCCCAAATATTACAGGCCGAGTACGAGAAGCAGCCGTTGATCCTGCTTGCTGGATACAAAGAGGCTCAAGGTAAAATGACAAGAAAAGAAGGAGCAAAGGAAACGCAACTGACCGACTCTGCTTCTTCAGCCTCCTTCATGCTACGCTCCGCCTGTGCTGCAATTGTATCCACACGCTGCCATTCACCAACCCAAATTGATGCTTCCATCCAGTTGATCCACATCTAAACGGTAACTGGCATAAAATCTATCATAATTCATGAAGAAATAGCTTGCCTGGATTATATGCTTGAACTGACTGCAATATTCTCGCATTCCGCGACTGTAAAGATGGAGTGCTTCAGTGATGTCACCTATTGATATATAGTATTGGAAAAGCTCATCCATGGCACGGCGGGTGGACTCCTAAAAATCTCGCGATATGAGAAGAGTTACCATAATTCCATACATTAAAAAGAACTGCATGAATAAGCAGGCAAAAGTATAACATGTTGCAGACCATCAACCATTGACTACCAAGACAGGCCCAGCTTCAGCAAGTTAAGATGTCTAATTTCAACTTGGTGTGGCACTTTCTCGACCCTTTGCAAAGGTTTTGATTTGTTCTTGCACCACTTCAGTCAAAATTAGTGGGTCTAATCAGTTCATATCGCTGTCCTACATCCGCGACATCCCATAATTATGGATGATGGATTATGAGAATCACGTTTATTTGGAAGACTACTGCAAATGTAGGAATGCTACTACAAGGTCTTTCAATTTTGAATTGATCTAACACTGTTCTGTTCTAACGCAAAAGTCGGCTTAAGGCTAAATTTACTGAAAAAAATATACAATAATTTTACAAATCACATGAAATAGTGAAGAAGAAACATAGATGCTCAATTAATAACAAGTAGATTATGGTGGATAAACCATAATCTATTTTCGTTTCCGATCCTCTTTGTGA